GAGGTTTTGTTTTCCTGCATGATGTTTCTGTGCATCATCATAACCCTCCTCTCACCGTTGCATGGGAATTTCTCAGAAAAGGAGCATCTTAAGTGATGCCTTTATAGAGTCATACAATCACAGTATGGTTTAGGTTGGAAGGGACTTTAAAGATCCAAAGTCCCAAACTCCCCCATAGGCAGGAATATCTTCTGCTAGACTAGCTTGTTCCAAGCCCCATCCAACCAGATCTTGAACATTTACAGGGATGGGGCAGCCACAGCTTCTCTGGGCAACCTGTCCCGGTGCCTCACCTCCCTCACAGCCAAGAATTTCCTTCTCATATCTAATCTAAAGCTCCCCTCTTTTAGTTTAAAACTGTTCACCCTTGTCCTGCCACTCCAGGCCCTTGTCCAAAGTCCCTCTCCAGCTCTCCTGAAGCCCCTCTAGGCACTGGAAGAGGGTCTAAGATCTCCCTCTAGCCTTCTCTACTCCAGGCTGAACACCCCCAGCTCTCCCAGCCTGTTTCAGAGCAGAGGTGCTCCAGCCCTTGTAGCATCTGGACTCACTCCAACAGATCCTTGTCCTTCTTACTCTGGGAGCCCCAAAGGTGGACTCAGCTTCATGCTGATCAATTCTCTTCTTTTGGAGCAGGTTGAGTGCCAATTACCCTGTCAGCTCTGATGTGCCCTGTGAGTTTTTAAGAACAACAAGAAAGGGTAAAGTGAAGCTCGCACGATGCTATGCAGGTCTCTCCGGGGGAGCAGTGTCCTTTCTCCAGAGCACACTCTGTGCAAACCCATGGTAAGATGGTGTCTGCTCTTCCAACAGCATGGTTGGTGCAGATCCTGGCTATTGCCCCTTTTTTCTGTGCACTTGCAAGGGGCCTCCTCACCTAGCATGGATCCATAACTGACCTCCTCATCTTTGTGTTTTCTAGGGGAAGGCCATCTGCCTCTGAGTGCCTTCAGAGCCTGTGGCTCCAGGAGACAGGTTTGGACAACAGGCAGCAAGCACTGGTTACCTTCCCCACCACAAAACTGCGGAATTTCCTCACTGAACGGGAAAAGAAAAGGGGCCTGTTGTGCTCCAAGTATGGTGTCATGATTGCACAGTGACATGGATGAGCTCCCTGTTCCCTTCTGCACTTATTGGTACCAAACTGTCCTGCCAAGTTGCTGTGCATCAGCTGAGCTGGGGTAGCTTCTTTCTCTGTTTGTATCAGTCTGTCCTGCCTGCCCCAGGGTATTTCTGCATATGCTGTGACTTGTGGGGGTAACTTGGTCACCAGAAAGTGCAGGCAGCAAATACAACAGCAACCACAGCCTTGTAACATGTTGTTAGTTGTACCACTAAGAGGCTCTGCAACTTTGAAGCAGGTCTGCTCTTCCCTGGGGAGTGCACAGGCACATCTACCTGGAGATGTGGCAGCAGTGTTGCCAGCAAAGGCTGTTTTTAAATTGTTTTTTAAAATCCTGAAATTTCATGTTCCTCTTTCTCCTTCGCACCCTGCTTTCCTCTGCAATGGATGGTGTTAGCTGTGTCATTGCTTTGTACTCCTAACCTCAGTGTTCCTTTGAGTTTCTCTGCAGTGGTTGATGTATCTCTTGGTGCCACTGAGTTCCTTCAGTTTCCTGTACAAGTAGCAGTAAGTAGAGGCTTCCTTAGAGCTGGATCTGGCTGTGTTTAGAGGAAGGAGAATGGGAAAGCAGTAACTAATCCATTACAGTTTTATGCTA